TGCTGGGGTGTGGACGTGGATGGGAGCTGGTGTGTGGACGTGGACGGGAGCTGTGGTGCTGGGGCGTGGACGGCAGCTGTGGTGCTGGGGCGTGGACATGCATGGGAGCTGGCTGGTGTGGAAGCTGCAGTGCTAGAGTGTGGATGTGAACGGGAGCTGTGATGCTGGGACGTGGACGTGGACAGGAGCTGTTGTGCTGAGGTGTGGACGTGGACGGCAGCTGTGGTGCTGGGACGTGGACGGGAGCTGCGGTGCCGGGACATGGACGGGATCTGTGGTGCTGGGACGTGGACGTGGACGGGAGCTGCAGTGCTGAAACGTGGACATGGACAGGATCTGTGGTGCTGGGACATGGACGTGGACGGGAGCGGCTGTGCTGGGATGTGGACGTGGAGGGGAGTGGCTGTGCTGGGGCGTGGACGTGGACGGGAGTGGCTGTGCTGGGGCGTGGATGTGGATAGGAACTGGTGGTGCTGAGGCGTGGATGTGGACGGGAGCGGCTGTGCTAAGACATGGACGTGGATGTGGACGTGAACTGTGGTGCTGGGGCGTGGACGTGGAGGGGAGTTACAGTGCTGGGACGTGGACGTGGACGGGAGCTGCTGGGTGGCGTGAGAGCTGCCGCTTGCCTCTTCTCTGTGTAACCCTGATGCCTCCAGCCGTTTATGTCCTTCACTCTTTCCTGTGCAGGACTCAGACCCACCTGTTCTCGTGCTGCGTTTCTCCTACATCTGTCCCAACCGGCAGATACGCCGCTATGTGGTCCTGGAGCCTGATGCCCACGCAGCCGTCCAGGTGGGCCCAGGGGCTCTGGTGGATCTGAAGATCCAGGCAGTCACCCTAGCCTGTGAGGATTGGGGTGCCCCTGTTTATGCTGCCCCTGGCTCGCCCCATTTCAGGAGCTGCTTGCTGTATTGACGCCAGTCCCAACCATTGCTTTGTGTCCTGTTGGAGACTCAGAAGGGCCCCCGGGAGCCAGACTGCAGTGTCTGCGTTGTGGCCATGAGTTCAAGCCAGAGGAGAGCAGTGTGGGACTGGACGGTGAGGATGGCTGGAGGCCCCTACTCCAGAAGACGGGTATGAGCCTGACCTTGACCTGCCCACGTTTCAGGGCAGTGACTGTGAGGAGATCGAGTGGGAAGGAAAGCCTCGGGTGAGGACAGGACATGAGCAGTGGGAGTACGTTCCGGGCAGAAGGCCTCTCTGTCCCTTTTGAGTACTGTCAAGTCGCAGCTGATCCGTAGTTGACCCTGCAGTGGGTTTTCAGAGGCAGTAAGTGTCACAGGAAGGGATCACGCATCCTCCTCCTGCAGAGCAGCTGGTGTTTTTTAACCATGTGCCTTTGAGATTGCAGCGCAGCTTCTTAGTACTTGACCGCCAGAGCTCCCTGGAAGACCACTGTAAGAGAAGGAGCTCCTGCCTGTCGCGTTTCCAAAACCAGGAGTCACGTACCTAGATTTATTTTCCCTTAAAAGTCAAGAAATGGGATCTCTGTAACTGTACTTAAACATACTCATTATTTTCTCATGCGAAGGCTTTTTAAGATTTGGCTCAGCATTTCAGACACTGTGTAAGCCCTAAAGAGCCCTCTCTGCGGCGTCTGGCTGTCACACTGCCCTCTGAGCGGGCGAGCTGTTGGCTGAGGTGCTCTGAAGCCAGTGTCCTTCCCTGAGTGACCTTGCGAGCTCCTTGATGGTGCGCCTGGTGACATGTAGCATCTCTAGGTGCACACACCTCTGTTTGTTAAACCAGGCGACTTCCCATGGTAGACGCACCACATAGTGCTATCATCAGACTTGCCAGCAGAGAAATGTTCTTGTTGACGTCTCTCTTGAGATGAATGGTTTTTTATTAGTCGCTTTCTCTTGGCAGCTGCTGGAGCAGGGAATCTCAATTTTTCCCCCCTAGAAAACAGCGTCCTGCCGCGTTCCCCACCTGGCCCTGCCTCAGGCGGCTCCAGGCCTCAGCAGGCCCAGCAGCACAGCTCATGTGCTCTGCGGGACTACCGGGCCTCTGGGGTCCCTTCTGTGGTGGCATTGTTAATTAACGTTACAGCGTGCCATGCTGTCTTTTTATTTGCTCTTCAGTCTGAAAAGGAAAAAAAGGAGAGAATGAATTTACCTTGTGGTGGTGCTCTGGAATTTAAACGTGACTAAACCAAGCAGCTCTGTCTTGGAGGGTGAAACCAGGTTTCTCCTTGGAGGCAAGGATTTTGAAGCTCCATCTCACATACTTTGGACAGGAGAGACCAATCCTTCGAGAAGGACATTATACTTGGAGGGTGTAGGGATAGTGCAGGAGAGGAAGACCCGGATGAGGTGGATTGACACTAGCTGGGGTAATGGGAGTAGGTGTGTCAGAGACAGCGAGACTCGCTCAGGATAGGACAGAGTTCAGAGCTGTTGTACATAGGGTTGCTGTGAGTTGCAGATGACTCAGTGGTTCAAAACAACAATAAAGTATATCTGCTTCTACGGAGCTCTGGTGGCTGAGTGGTAAGGAATTTTGATGCTAGCACAGAGGTGTGTGGTTCAAATCCACCTCCTCTCCAGGACAAAGATGGGCAGTCCCTTTCTGTGTGATTTGCTGCCTCTGAAAACCCATGGAGGGTCACCAGTGGCTCGATCCCGACTCAACAATACACAACAACCACAACAAAGTCACACAGGAGCCTGGTGGTACAGTGATTCAAGTGTTCAGGCTAACTGAAAGGTCAGTACTTTGTGCCCTCCAGGAGAAGGCCGAGGCAGCCTGCTTCTGTCGGCTCACGGTCCTGGGCCCCTGTGGAGGGGCACGCTCTCCTGTGAGGTCACTGTGCTCTGGCTGTGGGTCTGAGTTAGGGAAGGTGCGTGGAGGTCAGAGGTCTTCCTCACTGTCCTACTGTCTTGGACAGAGTGTATAAATGATTTGATTTGTGTACTCTACACTTAAAAACTGGGATAAAGAGAGTTTGCATGAGAGAGCAGATAATACTGACAAAGGAGCCCTTGTGGCTCAGTGCTTAAGCATTTAGCTGCTAACCGAATGGTCAGCATTCTGAACCCACGAGCTGAAAGGTGGCCAGTTCGAACCCACCTGGTGACTCTGCAGAGCAAAAGACTCGGTGATTTCCCATGGACTGCAGCCTGGGAGACCCTGTGGAAGTTCCCCGCCATCCTCCAGATCAGAGCTGCCTCAGTGGTTGAAACCACAGCGGGATCCAGGGTCCAGCATGTCCCAGCACGCCACAGCCACTCAGGGCGTTTGTTCCCCGACTCTGATATGTTCCCTCTGTGGTTTATCTCCTCACTCACGCCTCGTGACAGGCTCGTGAGAGCGATGCCATTCTCACTTAATTTTACCCACTTGGGACCAGGCCCAGAGAGCCTTGGTGACGTGCCTTAGATTACTCAGCTGGTGTGAGATGGAGCTGGGGACGGGACCCGGCAGTGTCCCCCTGCTGTCCTGTCTGCTACTTTCATAACCAGAAGGGCATTGGGGTGCTGAGCTGGCCTGAGGCTGTCCATTAGCCAAACATGGCCCGATTGGGTCTGGCCTCAGAGGACCTGCAGTTGGCAAGGATGTGTGTGTGTGGAGGTCAGGCTCTGGTCTAGGTTTGCTGCTCCCTCTCTGGGTATGACCAAGGTTGGTGGCAGTGCCGAGAGAGGGAGCCTGGGGGCTCACAAAACGATGGGTCATATATAGAGCTGGAGATGCTGGCCCACGGGGGTCTGCAAGTGGGTGGGATTTGTCAGGGGCACATCAGGGGCTGCAGTGCTGTTTCTGGACCTCACAGGGACCGTCCATGTCTTCCTCCAGATTCCCCTGCTGTGTGTCCCTCCTGTGGTAGTGATCATGTGGTCCTCCTGACTGTGACTCCCGCCGGGGAGAGAAGACAGGAAGGGCAGTCCCCAGCTCGCTCTCTTTCGTCCAGCCCTGTGTGTGACTCCTCTGGCCACAGCAACCCCCACAGCAGGGCTGACAGTGTCCCCTCTCAGACGCCAGTCTCCCAGGACCTCGGCAGCTGGAACCTCAGTCCACGTGAGTGTGGACAAAACAAGACATTTGGGGGAGGGGGACCCTGATGAAGGGGTGCAGCTGCAGCCCCAGCTGACGGTACACCCCGGCCCCCAGCCCCTGACCGCTGCGGCCTCCGCGCGGTGGACCACCGGCTGCGGCTCTTCCTGGACGTGGAGGTGTTTGCCGACGCCCAGGAGGAGTTCCAGTGCTGCCTCAAGGTGTGTGTGGTGCCCACTGTCCCCGGCAGGCACTAACTCCAGAGCCCACAGCTGGGGACAGGCTCCTTGGTATTGGGGTCTTTGTCTTCTACACGATGATGGTAGCGCCTGCCTCGTGGCGTGTGGTGAGGACAAGAGTGGGCGAGTGAGTTTGCCCAGCACAGCGTCAATGACGGACCCCCTTGTGGTCGTGCATGCAGCAGGTCGGCTGGAGCTGCTGTCACAGTGACAGCCCTCAGCCTGGTCCCCGTCTCCCTGGGTCTGTGTTCCTGTTTCTTGTCAAATTTCCCTTTCTCTCAGGTGCCACTGGTTCTGGCAGGCCATGCAGGGGAGATGTTGTGCCTCGTGGTGGTGTCTGACCGCAGGCTTTATGTGTTGAAGGTGACAGAGGAGATCCGGTGAGTGGGTTGAGGTGCAGCCGGGAAACTAGGGTCTCTGTTGCTGTCACGTCTCTTACTCTCTTCTATCCGTCTGCTCCCTTGCCCCTTCCCCAGGGGACCTCCTGCTGGCTGGCTCCAGCCGACTCTGGCCGTCCCCCTGCAGGATCTGAGCAGCATTGAGCTGGGCCTGGCTGGGCAGAGCTTGCGGTTAGAATGGGCAGCTGGAGGGGCCAGCTGTGTCCTACTGCCCCGAGATGCCAATCAGTGCCAGACCTTCCTGGGGGAGCTGACAGGTGAGACAAGCAGTGAAGGGCGGGATGGGGTGAGGGAGTAGAAGAACCTGGGCCCGAGCCCTCAGATCTGCACTGACCGTGGAAATGGACTCCTGCCCCTTGGGGAAGTTTTGACGTCTGGAAATATGGGGTGTTGCAGTGGAGAAGTGGGGCTGGAGCCAGAGCCTCCTGTGGACTCCCTGTCCTTGCTGTACATCCAGATGCTGTGCAGTCCCTGCCCCCCTCCTGGAGGAGCTGTGTTCGCACCACGGAGGAGGTGGTGACGCCAGCGCACCGGCTCTGGTGAGTGGATGGGTGGCCGGGGTGGTGCTGACCGCAGCCCTGGGCATAGGCCCTGTCTCCACACAGCCCCCTGCCCAGCTCTGGGCAGCCCTGGCAGGCCCTGCCCTTTTCCAGACCTTCCCACCACCCCTGGTATTGTCCCCTGAACTCTGCCATGGTGACTCCCAGCTGTGGCCCCCTTGCTTCCATTTCTACTCCCGAGTGACCGTTCTTCCCGTGTTGGCCTCATCTCCCCAGGCCACTGCTGGGTATGGACTCCTCCTTGGAGTCTCTCCGTTTCTTCTATCTTCGAGTGTTCCTGATAGAAGGTGAGCCTGCTGTGTTTGGAGGGCCCCTTCCCTGTCCCTTGTCTTGGCCCAAGTGACCAGCTCATCCCCAGAGCCTCTGCAGTGCTCCTGTAGTGGACCTGTGCCCAGCCCTGGACTTCTCCCTCTCCTGGTGGTACCTGACCATGGCTCTGTGCTCCCTGCCTCTGAGGGTGGGGCCTGGAGACACCTGCAGTGATCTTGGTGGTCTCTGAAGTGGGGCGGATGGACGAGCTGCACGGCTTGTCCCCATCAGAAGGCAGGATTGCATCCTGCCATTGGTGGGGTGGGCCGTGGGCAGGTTTCAGTGAGCCTCACAGGGTTTGGAGGCTGCGGATCTGTGGCGTTTGGAAAGGCTGGACCGTGGGCCCCAGTGTGCCGGCTGCTCTGGTGTTCTGCCCAAGGATGAGGCTCTGGGCTGTGTGCTCTGTTCAGGATGCCGCCAAGGGCGGTTCTCTCCTGAGAGTAGTGACCCTGGTCCGGTGACCAGGACTCCTCTAGCTGCTCTTCACTGGGCCTCAACTCCATCTGTCCTGCAGGCCCCTCGACATGCCCTGTGTCCTTGCTGCTCACGCTGTCCACCCTGTACCTGCTAGATGAAGACCCTGTGGGGTCCCCTGCAGAGCCCCCTCCTCCAGCAGCATCCGGCGGAGGGTCGGAGAAGGCCCCTCCCGTGGGACCAGGCCCTGGCGTGGGTGTCCGGGAGCAGCAGCCCGTCAGCAGCCTGAGCTCAGTGCTGCTCTACCGCACAGCCCCGCGGCACCTGCGACTCGTCTTCTATGACGAGGTGAGGGGTGCTGAGATGCAGGTGTGGGTGGAGTGGTGGCACTGAGGGCAGTGTGGGAAGTGGGTCTCGGGAGCCTAGGAATTGGGGGGACGTGTGACACGGGAACAGGTGATCAGAGTGTACACAGGAAGGACCAGGGTGAGAGGAGATCGCGGCTGCGCTGGTTTGTGAGAGCAGGAGTGGAGCAGGAGGCAGCTGGAGAAAGCCTTGATGGGAATGGGGCTGTGGAGAATCTGAGCAGCTTTCGTAAGGCCCTCTGCTCCTGGGAGTTTGCATGTGAGCCCTCGCACCTCGTGTGAGTGTTATAGCCTCCATCCGCCGTGGTGTCGTGTACCATTAAGTTGAACTGAACCTGTAGCTGACTCTCCAGCTGGTTTCCAGAGGCAGTTAATTGCACGGGAGGAGATTGCCCATCTTCTGTGGAGCAGCTGGTAGATTTGAACCACGTACCTTTGCATTGGCAATGCATTTGCTTACGACCAAGCCACCAGGGCTCCCTCCATCCACATGAGGGAGCAGCTGTGACTGGTTCCATTTTACAGATGAATCATAAATGGTAGAACCGGATTTGAATTCAGGAGCTTAACTCACATTTCTATTTTGTAAGACAAGGAAGATGGAATTGTAAAATATCAAATGAAAATCCTGTGGAGGCTCAAACCCAGGGTGTTTTATGGGGAGACATAGAGGATAGGTCCCTTTCTGCGCCCTCCCTGTCCCCCTCTGGTGTGGCCCTGCTGAGTGCCACCTCCGTCTGCCTGGCCGGCCAGGTGTCTCGACAGGAAAGCTTCTGGACGCTGCGTGTGGTGTGTCCGGAGCAGCTGACGGCGCTGCTGGCCTGGATCCGGGAGCCCTGGGAGGAGTTGTTTTCTATCGGGCTCCGGACCGTGACCCACGAGGCCCTGGACTCTGACCGGTGAGGCTTTGCCGCCGTCCCCAGCCCTGGCCTCGGGTGGTAACCGCAGCAGCTGTGGATATTTCTCTCCTTTGCGTGGAGTCTGGCTCAGGACTGGTGGTGGACTTCTCCAGCCCTTGACTGCTGGCCAGTGAGGCCCCAACTGACCCCACTTGTCAAGGGAGGGGCATAATTTCCCTGGCCTGGACTCTGGCAAGATCTGGTCCAGGATGACAAGCCGGGCACTCACTTGAATGTTCTTGCTGCACTTTTTTCTCAGGTGTCAATAAAGTTGTCTCCATTCCAGATTTCACAGCTGTCAAGAGTGTCCTTAGACACAGCAGTCCTGAGTGCAACTTTTCCTGTCACCTTCTCTAGGAGCACAGCCCTCTGAGCACTCCCTGTGTGGCGCAGCCCGATGTAGCCGCTCCTGGCCCCACACGGTCCCTCCCGGCCCCACACGGTCCGCCCGGCCCCACATGGTCCGCCTGGCCCCACATGGTCCCTCCTGGCCATACACAGTCCCTCACGGCCCCACGAGGCCCCTCGCGGCCCCACGCGGCCCCTCCCGGTCCCACGCGGCCCCTCCCGGTCCCACATGGTCCCTCCTGGCCATACACGGTCCCTCACGGCCCCACACGGCCCCACACGGCCCCTCCCGGCCCCACGCGGCCCCTCCCGGTCCTACACGGTCCCTCCCGGCCACACACGGTCCCTCCCGGCCCCACACGGTCCGCCCGGCCCCACATGGTCCGCCTGGCCCCACATGGTCCCTCCTGACCATACACAGTCCCTCACGGCCCCACGCGGCCCCTCCCAGCCCCACGCGGTTCCTCCTGGCCCTGCATGGTCCCTCATAGCCCCATGCAGCCCCTCCTGGACCTACGTGGTCCCTCACAGCCTCTCGCCGTCCTTCACGGCCCCAAATGGTCCTTCCTGGCCCCACACGGTCCCTTGCGGCTGCTTGTGGCCCATCCTGGCCCCATTCAGTACCTTGTGGCCTCACGTAGCCCCACACAGCTTGTGGCCTTGTTTTGTCCCCAAAATGCCATCTCCAGTTCACTGTGGCCCTCTGCCCCCTTGCAGCCAATCTCAAAAAGGCAGTGGTCTGAGAGGTAGGTAGCCAGGCCTGCTGGAGTCTCTCACTCAAGTTCCAACTTAGAAACAGTGAAGACTTCAGGCCGCTGACTGTGGGTCCCAAATCTCAAGGGCTTGGTGAGGCCTGGGGGAGAGGAGGGTGGTATCTGTGTCAGGACCACCTTGCTCTGGAGTCTGGCAGGCTTGACCCCCTCCCGCTGTCCCTGGCCAAGGCTTTTGGTTTGAGAGTGCTCTTGTGACCCGCTGTAGCTCACCAAGGCCTCACCCTGGGCTTCTGCAGAACTAAGAAAGAGACACTTACCCTATGTGCTAATTAGCCGATAGACTCAGAGCTGCTGGCCCAGAGGAGAGAGCTCTCCTGAAAACGAGAGTGCCGGGAGAGGGGAGCAGAGTAGAGCCGAGCTGAGGGGAAGCCACCAGCCAAGGCCTGGCAGTGTCCAGTTGGACCTGCACCACCTGGGATTTTATACTGTTGTGTTAACTAGAGGCATCTTGTCCCTGTCCCCCACTTTAGCCCACTTTTTTCTTTGGCTTAAGCTGGCTTGAAGGATCCTAACTTGATATACTGGGCCCTGGCTCGTGTAGTCTGTGACACCCTGTCTCTGTGTAGGAGGCATCAGCGTGAGTGCTGGGGAAGTCGTGTTGGGGACTCGGTGTGTGTCCTGGGGGCCTGGACTCATGGCAGCTCTCAGGGAAACTTTCCTGCCAGGCGCTGTGCCGGGTCCCTGCTGGTGGCTGCTGCGTACAGGTGAGCAGACTGAGAGGAGTTCAGTGATGCGGTCACAGCCACCGGTGAGACTTGATTCCAGCTGTGTGGCTGTTGGCACACGGCTGGGCGAGGCCTTGGTGCCCTTGCCCTCCCTGCAGAACAGCCTCCTGCCCTGGTCTGGGGCCTGCTCAGGTGCTCTAACGCGCACCAGGGACAGGCAAGCCCACAGGGGTCTTCCCACCTCCTCCTTTCTTGAGGGCATGGAGGGTGTGCAGTATGACTCATAGTGACCCTATGAACAAGAGACCTGAACCCTCGCTAATCCTGTGCCAGCCTCACAAACGCTGACACTCAAGCCTGTTCCCACAGTCACTGTGCCAGTCTGCCTGGTTGAGGATCTTCCTCTCCTTCACAGCGCCTCCACCTTTCCAAGCATGATGTTACTCTAAAAGATTCTCCTAGTGACATGCCAAAACCATGTGAGATGAAGCTTTCCCATCTTTGGCTCCAAGAAGAACTCTGACTATACCTTCTCCAAGACATATCTGTTCTTTTGGCAGTCCATGAGATATTCAGAACTATCTCCAACACCAAAACTCAGAAAGCATCACTTCTTCTTTCATCTGTTCAGCTCTCAGATGCTTAACAAGTGATTGAAAAGAGCATGGCTTAGCTTTGCGCAGTGGCAATATCGTAGCCAGTGAGGTTTATCCGAGGCGCGATTATTGCTAATTGAAAAGAGCATGACTTGAATCAGGTGCACCTTAGTCCTCAAACTGACATTATTGCTCCTCAGTAATTTGGAAAGATCTCTGACTGCAGGCTTTTCCAGTGCTGTATGTCTCCTGATCTCCTGACTGCTGGTACCAAGTATATTAATTGTGGATCCAAGTAAGATGATGTTTCAGTCTGTTGATACTTTCAATCTTTTTTTCATCTCTCATGATGTTGACTATCAGTCTAGTGGTGAGAAGTTTTGTTTTCTTGATGTTGATATGCAATTCATATTGAATATGAATGTTGTATAGTCTTTGATCTTCTGCAGCAAGTGCTTCAAGTCCTCCCCACTTTCAGCAAGCAAGGTTATGTTATCTGCATAATGAAGGTTATTGATGAGTCTTCTCCAATCCTGATTCCATATTATTCTTCATGGAGTATAGCTTCCTTTTTTAAAAAAAAGTATAGAACATTTCATGAATTTGCATGTCATCCTTGCGTGGGGGCCATGCTAATCTCTATATCGTTCCAATTTTGGTATGTGTGCTGCCAAAGTGAGCACAAGTCCAACTTCTTGAATAATTTGCTCAGCATACAGATTGGATAGGTATGGAGAAAGGATACAACTCTGACACAGACCTTTCTTTGTGGTACTAGGAATATTGTAGCCAATGTTAGCCGGATCTTGGCTGAAAGCAGGGAGTACCAGAGAAATGTCTATCTGTGTTTCATTGACTATGCAAAGGCATTTGACTGTGTGGATCACAACAAACTGTGACTAACTCTGAGAAGAATGGGAATCCCAGAACACTTGATTGTGCTAATGCGAAACCTATACTTGGACCAGGAGGCAATTGTCAGAACAGAGCAAGGGAACACTGCATGGTTCAAAATTGGGAAGGGCGCATACCAGGGATGTGTCCTATTTTCGTACCTTTTCAATCTGTATACAGAACAGATTATCTGTGATCCTGAGCTGTATGGGGAGAAATGTGGCATCAGGATTGGAGGAAGATTCATCAATAATCTGAATTATGCAGATGACACAACCCTGCTTCCTAAAACTGAGGAGGATCTGAAGTGCTTGCTGCAGAGGGTCAAGAACTGCAGCCTTCACCACAACAAGATAAAGGTAAATAATCCAATAGAAAAATGGGCACAGGATATGAACAGGCACTTCACCGAAGACGACATTCAGATGGCTAAC